TTCCCGTTACCGGGCTGTTGTGCAGCGGGCTTTATACTTATTTCTATGGTGAGAATGGTTAGTGTTGTATTGCAGTAATGCTCTTAAGAGCAGGTACTTCCATGGATTCCTTATGGATATACCCATAAGGAATCCATGGAAGTACCTGCTTGTATTACGATCCCCCCTTGATCTACAATAGGTCCGAAGAAGAATAACCTTTATTGCTAGTGGAAATTTCCTGCGTCTTTCATGTCATGCTATCACTGAGGATTTTGGTATTGGAATATTGGTCACAACCTGATGACAGCTGACATGTAGTTTTTAAGATTTTTTAAGGTATTTCTGTTTATTTTTATGCTGCATGGACACTGTTTGATTCCCAAAATAAGAGTTAGTTGAGTTAAGTTACAAGTTCAATTGCCACTAGGGTTGCCACCTGTCCTCCTTTGTGGAGGACAGTCCTCTTTTGATAAGATCACGTCCTTCGTCCTCTTTTAAATAAAATATGTCCTCCTTTCTATGTATTTTATTGTGCTCTCAACATTTTTCTCGGTAAATCAATAAAATAACAGGCTTGCAAACAATATAAAAAATGATGTTGGCCGGTATCTGTATAGTGGGTTGCCTAGTGCTTTTTAAAATGCGTTATGAATATTATACACTGGGAAATTCCCAGTGGGAATGTTCTTAGATGGTGCTTGGAAGTTTTAGAGGATCATTCTATGGAATATTCCCAATGAATATTCCTAGAATGAAGCGGATTATTCCTAGATTATAGGGCATATTCCTGGAATATTTTCGCACCTTCATTGCAGTCTGGGTTATTTACTAGGTATGTTATTATTTTTATTTGACTGCAACATATTAGTTTAATGTTCTAGTTAATAAAGTTAATATTGCAAGGGTGCTTGGAAGTTTTAGAGGATCATTCTATGGAATATTCCCAATAAATATTCCTAGAATAAAGCGGATTATTCCTAGATTATAGGGCATATTCCTGGAATATTTTCGCACCTTCATTGCAGTCTGGGTTATTTACTAGGTATGTTATTATTTTTATCTGACTGCAACATATTAGTTTAATGTTCTAGTTAATAAAGTTAATATTGCAAGGGATCAGTCCTTGGTCATTTCTGTTGAACTTGTTTTGATTTTGGCAACGGCCCCTTTTTTTTTGTAAAAATTTTTGAAGCGGGCTTTTAAAAAATGTCCATGTCCTCCAACCCCAAGCTTAAAAGGTGGCAACCCTAATTGCCACGTAACATGGTTGGCAGTATTGCCACGATTAACTTTTTATTTTATTTAATTGTACTGGTATTTAGTGAATTTGACGTAAATTTAAAGCAGCATTCTTGATGAATATATCGTCATATCCCTGCCAAAAGTCACTAACTAACATTTTATTATTGATCTTCAAGATAAAATAAATAAGCAAATACATATATCTTGATTTTTAACCATGCAAAAACGACTATTTTTTATTATTCTAGGCATCTAGTGGCTTTTAAATATTAAACATATGGTAAATTTGTATAGTTAAGTACAATTTGTTATCATTTTTCAAAATGTCAGTTGGTGACTTTTGGAAGGAATATGACGATATGTGGTACTATAGTAATTTGTAATTTGTTAATAATTCCTTCCTATTTCTGACTTCCTGTCGAGTTTATCACGACTAGTGCCCCCTATTATACAGGGGGGAGCTATAAGTTTTCAAGGAGTGAAGAAAAAAAATTTAAAATTTGGGGATCACTATAGGATCATTACACTACATTCTTAGATAGTCTAGAACTTCCATGCAACTTCCCAGATAGCACAAGAGGTACCCAGGACGTCCATTTCGGGTCCCACTTAGATCCGAACGTCCCAGACCTATATCGGAAGTTTTTGGTACGTCCAGTCTCTTACTTATTTGGAAAAATTAAAGCGGAAATACTCGATACGTTCCAAGGACGTAATTTTTGTTTTTTTAGCAATTAAAGGATGGTATTTCCAAAGGGTCTAAGTGTCAAGTTGGCTAAATAATATATTATCATTTAAAAATAAACTACTCACAAAAATTAAGGAAATGAAAAAAAAATGCAAATTTTTCTTAGATTTTTGACGGGCTGTATTTCAGCGGAAAATGATCGTATCGCAAAAAAAATGCATTTTAAAGGTCCAAGACTCTAGTTTCCACATCTTGAGGTCAAAATTTTTTAAGAATTACGGTTTTGACACGATCCGAAGAAATAGAGCAAACAAATTTTTTTCCAAATTTTTGATCTTTTTTTTTCGCTCTACGGGCACGGAAAAATATTTTCAAACAAACCGACCTTATGGAACAGATAGCTTGTTTATTCAGCTTCAATTTCATTTTTTTTTCAGCTTGATACGACCAATTGTCGCGGAGATATCCGAGATTAAACAAAAAAGGGCGCTTATGTCTTTAATCGACTGTATCTTAATAAATATCGACTGGGAAGCTAGACATTGCAGGAATTTTTACACCTCAATATACCCCTGAAAACCCTGTAAATTTTCAGAACGATCCATTGAGTAGTTTTTCTGCCCCGAGCATCCAAAATTTTGAAAAAATTAAAGTAATAAGATTTTTATCCATTATCGTGGCATAATAATTTTTTTTCGTTTTGCTCTCAATTTTGCATCGACTCATCAGTAAATTTAAATGAAAAAAATTATAAAAAAAAATTCAAAAATTGAAAGAAAAAATTTAAAAAAAAAAGTAATTTTTTTTTATTTGGTTGTTGTCATCTTTATCCCGTTGAATAAAAAATATGGGTTTTGTTTTCAAACGGTTTGTAACTTCTGTACTTTAAGAAAATGTTGATAAATTTGAATATCAACCGCCGGCATTCGCGTTACCCAAAGCGTACCACGTGGAGGTTGCACGGTCGGATTTACGCTTCTTGTGTGTGTGTGTGTGTGTGAGAGAGTGTGTGTGTGTCAGTGGCGGCTCGTCGGGGTAGGCAAGGTAGGCGCCGCCTACCCTGGAAATATGGATGTAAAATAATAAATATAAGTAATTTAACATTAATAAAATTACCAAATTTAATTTTTTTTGCATTCATAAATCTTATTTATCGCAAATAAAACCTTTTATTGAATTGTTGCGTGATGCGTCATGACGAAAGTAGCTAGTTCACACCTTTTTCTATGCTCCAAATCAGCATCTAAAGCAAGCAAAGGCGACTATCCCAAGCGCCTATTTATTTGATTCTTTCACGTCAACCAAGTGAAGAACGCTATACCGCTAACCAATAGAAACGCCGTTGACGTATGGTAAAATTGCGATGGATAGGCGACACGATTGTTCGCCTTCGGCTAATCCGAAAGCCGATTCGGCTTCCGACTTGTTTTTGCCAGTATAAGTTATTTTTTTAAGCCGGTAATCGATAAAATGATCGATCTCAATTCAAGAGGTTCAGAATATAATATGAATTTAATATTAAAAGTCCTGTAAATAACATCATTTGCAAGAATATATTAATATAATAAATAATTAATTTAAAATAGTGACATCTGTTGAGATAAATTCGAACGATAAAGGGCTTTTAAGCAGATTTCTTTTACATTTTAGTTCTGTCAATTAGATGTTTTTGAGTTAAACAATTGTTTTAAGCCAAATTCACTTTATTTTTGTGACTGTGTCAGGAAATTAATTACCCGCTAAGTATTACTGTATCATTATTTATTATTATTTGTTAGTATTAGAATTAGGTACCTACTACCTAATAGGTAGGTAGTATTAGCGTTGATTATTAGCCTTGTTTAATAAACAAGGGTATTATTTTGCAATAATGGAGGGCCCATTTCATGACATTATTTGCTCATTACTTGAAAATCCATTTTCTCGCCTTAATGAAAACGATCGAAAAGATGATATGATTAATGATCGCCCTATTCCACATCTAAATCTTTTAAAACCTAATAAAAAACATGGTTCAACTTTTTCTCGATCGTTTAAAAAGCAATGGTATGAGAATCATCGATGGTTATGTGGTAGTTTTTTTAAACAGAGTTTGTTTTGTTGGCCGTCGCCTACCCCAGCGCAGAAGGCACGAGCCGCCACTGGTGTGTGTGTGTGGGTGTGTGTGTAGAGAGAGAGATTAATATCGCGTGTTGCCACCTCTGCTTCTTATGACTGCTTGCGATCTTTGTGGCATATTCGAAATGCAGTTTCTTATCATTTGTTGAGGGATTCGTCGCCAGATTTCATTTATTGCTCCCTCTAATGCAGCTAAGTTCCTCAAATTAGGATAATTTTGACGCAATCGACGGCCCATGATATCCCAGACATGCTCGATAGGGTTGAGGTCGGGACTCATCGCTGGATGCCGTAACAACGTTATGTTGTTTCTTTCAAAAAACCGACGGGTGATGTTAGCAGTGTGAGGGCGGGCATTGTCTTGCATAAAAACGAATCTTCTCGGATTTCCATGGTGTTCAGGCAATACAAAAGGTCGCAAGATCTGATCGATATAACGCCTAGCATTTAAATTTTCACGGACAATTACTAATGGAGTTCGTCCAAATCGCGTAAGCCAGGCGAGCTCAGCGATGAGCGGCTGACAACATTGGTACGCGCGCGGCTCTTCTAGCTCTCGTTCCAGTCTCACGGAGACGATTACGAACCGTTTGTGGGCAAATGTTTAGCGGCCGCTGTCGTTGCAGTTGTTGTTGTCGGCGGTTCGGAAAGTCCCGAGCGATAACGTTCGCAGGAACAAAAGGTTCTTGACGAACGCGTCGATTGATTGCCCGATCATCGTGAGGAGTCGTCACACGACGCCGACCTTGGCCAGCTCGTCGACTGTAACCATCCGTTTCTAGGTACCGATTGTAAGCACGACACGCAGAAACGCCCAGTCTATCGCCGACTTGCTGATATCTGTTCCCCTCTTGTACCAGAGTCACTAACTGAGCGACTTCTGTCGCAGATAAATGCAGCCTGGGCATATCTCATTTAGATATAATTTATAGCTGCATTTAAAAAATAAAAGGAATACAAATAAAACAATATATTGCTTACAAATATATTCCAAACCAAGTACAATAAAACTAAAAAGTACTACTTTCTAAGTAAGATGTTTTAATTAACTAATTACCAAATTATTTTAAGTTAATGTAGTGCCACTTGTCAACTGAAACAAAAAATAATTATTAATAAACCTATATAAGACATTTTAATGTTTCAAAAGTAATTTTTACATATACAGGGTGTCACATAAATGGCGCACTAAAGGGTTATAGACCAAGAAAAGTTTTAAGTAAAAATAAGAGTTTTTAAAGTCTTACTTTCTCTTAAAAAGTCTGAATAAGTCTTAGTAAGTCAGACTAATAGCAAGATTTGGGAGTCTTCTAGAAGAGTTAATAAGACCTTATAAGACTTTTAGAGATAAATGGTAGAAACCTAACTATAGCGATTAAAATAAATATCCGGAATTATTCAGAGAGGTTGTATTTGATTATTATAAAATAAAACACAAAGAAAAGTATTTATTAACATTTTGCCTGGGTGGTAATAAGCCAAGTTTATTGCTTAATTACCTATATAATAACATATGTGAGGTGTAATATTTATAACAATTATAATTTTTTACATACGATGTGCTTGACTTGCTTTTATTGTTGCCACTGTACGTTTTATTTTAATAGTTTCTTTTCATATACGCAAATATTCATCTAACCATTGTTCCAAACAATTTTTAGACACAATATTGATTTTATCAGCTGACCAATTAGAGCACAGCTGATCTGTCATGTGATGACATCTTTCCGCGTTTTCAAGATAGCTCTCCTGTCACTATTTACCAAGTGTTGCCGTTTGCGGGTATTTTACTCGGAAATCGGGTATTTTCGTCATGTTTGTGGGTAGAATTTTGAAGCGGGTAAAATCGGATATTTTGCAAATTTCAAACAAAATACTAACTGAAGAAATTTTCATTAAATAATATTGTATGTTTACTAAAAATGCATAATTATTTTATTCTATAAAGGATTTCCTGTTACATTTTTATTTATTTATATTAAAATTTTAAATTAATTTAATTAATTTTTTAAAAACAGGGCGAATGCGCTAGTAAATTTAAAATATGACTAGATTTTTTAGTATTTTGTAATTTTTGGTCGGGAACTTTTATGACATTCATCCGGCAACACTGTATAAAACACATGAAGCAATGAAAGCAGCTCGAAGATCAACCATATTTATTTTATGAGTTATTATACCTTATGTACTTAATCAACAATTGATCTGTATGTACAAGGGGCCTCTAGGAGGACCAAATATTTGCGTCATTTAGGTACGATAGAAGCAATAAAAAACTGCTACCTTGTAGCACATGTAGGGCATTATCTAGAAAAAGTGGTCAAAATTTATAAGAAGTTTTAACTTGCATACCCATGATACAAGGAAACATGGTATGCCATTGCGCATGGTAGCGCTGTCTCTCTCGCTCCGTATGACGTCACGCTCTTTAAAAATATACACCAATGTAAAGTAATGTAATTTTTGGGGAGCGTGTTCGCGTTTTATTAAATTTACAATAATCGGTCGTTCATAATTATTATGAACGACCGATTTATTAAAACCAATTGTGAGAGAAAAATGTTTTAAGGTAGTATTTCTAAGTATTTCTATTTTGTCATTGTGCCAATGTATTTTTTAAACTATATAAGCAGCGCAAATAAAATAATTACCTACCTATTGCTTTTTGTTATGGATATTATTTTAAAAATAATAGAAGGAAAAGTTATAAACACAGGGTGTTTTTATTTAAAATTGACAACGTAATAGAGGTTGTACACCTTTTTTTTTTCAAGCGGCCATGATAGTCCTTATATGCATGTATAGAGATAGTTGAAGTGCGTCTTTTTCATTAGCGGCAGACAAAAAACTCAAAAAAGCCTAGGGATAGAAGTAAATCCATAGGTGACTCAATAAACGTCAAATAATAAAATTAATTTAGCATTTCATACAAAGCAATCACGATGTATTAATTATATTAATTATAATCGCACGGAATATTTAGTGATTATTTATTAAATTTTAATTGAACGAAATAAAGAAAAACTAGTTTATTAGTATAATATTATGATGATAGACGAGTCGCCAGTGTCTAAACTTCAAACAAATGTCAGTACGTCAAAATTAATTCAAGCGCAGCATTTTGACAGAGCAGTGTTTAGTTTTAGTTTCGGATATTTATCGGCATTGTAAGTAAGGTTTATTAGTTTTTTTAGTTTTTATCAATAATTTCTAATGCTTTTAGCCAAAATTTTATCCCACACGAGTTATGAGTAAATAAAATAATTCTATTGCTTATCCTATTTATATTATGCCCTTGAAAAAAAATTGTATATGTTATTTGGAGTAGAAGCTCTTTTTGTGCTTCGTACTGTTGCCTGCCTCAGCTACGCTTCGGCCGTCAATCTATGTACTCACCACAAAAAGAGTCACTTCTACTCCTTATAACATAATCTACTATTAATTATTTAGTCTTGTTTTCGAATTATCAAACTTGTTTTGTTTTTACATAAACCTTTTTTCTCATTTATTTATGGATTTTAATAGAATTTTTAATTTAATTTCAAGAATTTCTGTGTTAAACATTTAAAAATATAATATTCAGGGTGTTCCAACGAAAACTTCTACCCCCCCTTAACGTTTTAAGGGAAGAATGTGGACAAAATTCCTTGGACACATCAATTTTTATTTCTAGGGAGACAAATTTTAACGTAAGCTTCACGCCCCCACCCCTTCGCGCTCCACCCCGCCCACAACCAAAATCTTAAATTGGACGGGAGGATTCTTAATAAGATTCTGTAATTTTTTTTTTTAATCTGTCAGTTAGTTAACGAGAAATTGCTATTTAAATATTAAAATTAAGAGAAAAACAAAAAAATTGTAAATCAACGAAGTGATTCCCCCCAACTTTCATGCAATAGTACATACGTTGTTCAAAATGGCAACTGTAAAAATGACAGGTGCCTAAATGACATATGTTAAAATAACAAGTGCCTGAATGACAGCTGTCAAAAAACAGGTGCCTAAATGATAGCTGTCAAAATAAAAGTTGCCAAAAAAACGTTGTCCGTTATTTTTTCTTAAAACCACCTTGAAAAAATTACAGAATCCTATTTATTTATATATATTTATATTATTTTAAGAATTAAAAGACCTTTAAAAAGATGTGATACTCCCCGTCCAATTTATGATTTTGGCCACGCACAGTGTTTCAATTCTCGAAATTTTCGGCAAAATATCAAGGAGTAGTCGGATCCTCCTAAAAATCCGTATATAGAGGTTTTTGGGGTCGCTGATAAGGAATCAGAATTTCAAAATTCAAAATGGTAGATCCAAAATTGCGGACATATTTGTCAAAAAATTGACGGAATAAATTGAAAATCACCAAACAGGGGTTTGATAATGAATCTGGAATCAGAATTCCAAAATTCAAAATGGTAGATCCAAAATGACGGACATATTTGTCAAAAAATTGACGGAATAAATTGAAAATCACCATACAGGGGTTTTTGTGGTCGCTGATAATGAATCTGGAATCAGAATTCTAAAATTCAAAATGGTGGACCTCAAATGGCGGACATTTTTATCAAAAAATTGTCGAAATTAATTAAAAACCCGTAAGAGGTTATTTTTAAAATGTAAATAAAACATCTTTTTATAAAATAGCTTAATTTAGTTTGTTATAATTACATTTATATGATATTATTTAATACCTACATATCGACCCATGCAACGAAGACTATTGTAACTCAGTTTTGATTGTAGACTGGAGTAACTCAACTTAATATAGTTTTTTCCTGTAGGAAATTACACTTACTATAAAGGGAAGTTGTTCACTGGTTGCCTATCGTTTCATGTCTGATTTACTGTAATCTTCCACCAAATAGAGCTTGAAAAAATCTGTTGATGCCATATAGTAAGTCAAAATCCACGTTTTTTGAGTTACTATAGTCTTCGTTGCATGGGTCGATATACAGGGTGGCCGATTTATCTGAAGACATTGAAATATAGTCGACCCCTCACCACCACCCCCTGGGGTGGGGGTGGGGGCAACTTTAAAATTCTAAATAGGAACCCCCATTTTTTATTGCAGATTCGGATTTCCCATTAAAAAATAAGTATCTTTTATGGAAAACCTTTTTTTTAATTCCTGATAGATGGCGCTGTAATCGCAAGAAACCCTATTTTTGAGAATATCAGATAAATCGGCCACCCTGTATATTAAAGAATCTCCGTCACTGGATTCGCTAAAAAAATTGTCAACACAAATAACCACAATTCAAATTTGACATTAACACACTACAATGCGCATGCGGAGTTGTTTTAACGCGCCTACAAGAGGTGGGTTAAATATGTAAAATCGGTGTTAAATATCTTAGTAGTCACGAACGATTTACGCAAGTGAAAGTCTAGACACCGCTTTTGTAATAAACGTTTTGAGATAAATCCGAGTGAATCGAGTAAACGTCACGAACGCAACCCAGAAATAAAAAAAATCTTATATTTTGTAAAGCAAAAACACAGATACGCGAGCGACATAGGCTTAAAATCGCGAGGTTTTTTACCACAACCGTGCCTGAGCGCCTAAGAACATGTAGTTTTAAAGAGCCGGGGGCGAGTTCGGGCAGATAATTTATTGATAGCTTGATAGACAAAACTCTAAGCTATTCAACAGATCTTGAACTGATGCCTTACAATTCATTACAATTTTTGTAGCTCAATTGTTCTAAAAGCTCGATTCAAAGTTTGCGATTTTAACAGATCGATCTTGTCGGTTACAATAACCCGTTGTACAAGCAAAATGTACGAAAAACAAATACATATCTGAATTTTACATACCTTGAAGGTCACCCTTCATCAAACCGCAGAACAATCGGACACACCAAACACAAGTTATTCACTTTTAAACAATAAACAATTTTCCGCAGCGATCGCGTATAATGTACCTTCAACTGAAAGCGTCAAGTTTAAACTGATGTACAAGACAAAATATACGTTTTTTATATTATTTTTTTTCAATACAGGTATTAACTACCCATCTAACTCAAAATTTACCTGAAAAAAAAATGTTAATTTTTGAGGTTTTGCCGATGTTTTCGAGAATTGAAACACTGT